AGGTAGATTGGGCGAAATTTCAAAATTTTATCTCTCTCATGTGGAAATCGCATTCCCTGTTTTAGAAAATCTGCATTTTCAAGTATCAATCTTGAATTTAAACCGAACTAGATCTGAAACCAAAAGGTAGGAGAGGGATGTACCTGATACGAATAAATAATCTCCCAATGAAGGTGTTCACACCCAAGGAAAACTCCAAAAACTGCTCTCACTGAATATGACACAGTATAGGGTGGAGCAGAATCAACAGGTTCTTCACAATAACCAAATCCTTCAGCAAGAATTCGATGGAGGGTGTGTGAGCACGACTTCAAATAATTTTTTCTCCAAAAACTGATATCAAAAACCCTTCTTGATCGCTCCTACAGTGGAGAACGAACTGGCAATGGCGGCAGCAGGAGAAGGGCGCAAGAGCAGAAGATGGCGCAGTTTTACTGTAGTTGTCTTCTCTCTTTCTGTGATCTAAGATCAGTTGTGTTAAATGGTCCGCCCCCTCCTCCTTTTATAGCCTTAAAGAGATCAACTCCTAATCTCATTAGGAGTTTCCTGATTCAAATCCTTATTTGAATTTGGACTCTCTTTAAGAAATAAGGATAAGCCCTTATCTTATATGTAGATTATATCAGCCCTCCTAATCTTATTAGGAGTTTCCAAATTCAAATATGTATTTGGATATGGACTCTCTAAGTGGATATCCCTATCCTATCTGCTGATCCAAATCCTAGATCCGCCCCTTTAACTAATCAAATTAGACTAGTTCGATTTGGGCTTTACGCCCATTAAGTCCATGTGCTCATTAACCTTCCAGACTGCTGCCCAGTTAGGTTTCCTTGTATGGTGTGGAACCCAAACATTGATCTACACATTAGCCACATGGGTTCAGCTTAGCCTCTGTTACAAGGCCTAGACGAATTCACTGTTATGGACAGTGAACCCCTGAGCCCATCTCCATGGGCTCTTAATGGGCCCAACACTTACACTAAGTAGTCCCTAGGCCAAGCCACCTTATAAAAACTCAATGACTATGGGCAGATGCAATATTAGTTCATCATGTATTACTCTCAATGGTTTTACACTTAACCTCTCAGCCCATAATGATCAAACACTGCCCGACAAGAGAAGACCTCTCCCTCGACGACAAGGAACAGTGTTGCACTCTCTACTCACATGGATCCTGGGAATTAAAACATTTTGCAAATATTTTGAAACCGTAATATATATGTAACTTTATATGAATATATTTTTGCAAAACAAATTTCAACGATTGAAATCAGTTGTCGACAGCTTTGGTTTCCATCAGAGAAAGTGCATCCCCGATCATTACCTTTGTCCGACAAAGGGGTTGATCTTGTCACTATGATCACCCACTTAGATGAATTCTCAGACTGTCCCAACATACCAGGTTTTGACCCCCTCTAAGGATCTCACTGATTGGTATATCAAAGACAGTTCAATCCGACACCTAATGCAGTATCATAATCGAGTGTAGGGATCAGGTGTAACATTTCAGTTTTGCCCACTAATCACCAAGGTCCAGGGCAATACTGGAATTCTGGTCCGGTTCAGGGTTTCAAGAAAACTCACACTGCATGTACCTCAAGTCTCACCCTATCAGTTGAGACAAGCCACCCCAACCAACTTGGCGGCACATCAGTGTTAGCCTTTACAGGATAAATCTCCCAAGATCTATCCAACGACTGTGAATATTCTAAGCTAACATGAGTTTCATATGTGTCCAGTTTAAAGGTATTACACAGAAACACATCATAATAACATTAATCAAATATGTACTTTATTCATTTACAATAGATGTCATAAGGTACATCATTTTGCTTGGAGCTAAGGGCATACAACTATCTAACATATTTTATCTCTTTTCTCACTACTTTTCTTCCTTCATTCAACATCTTTGGGCTTTTCCCTTAAGCATATGCAAAATCCCCTGTTCTTAATTATTGTTCTTTGGACGGACGGTAATAATCGTCACCTGAAACCATATATTTCTCATATTCCGACGAGAATCATATAAAAAAGTCCATCATCCTGCCGATCTCTTAGTTCGGACGCGGAATCCTCCCCCCTGTTGTTTATCTACTTCATATCGGAATCGTCTGGAGCTTGCCCCTTAATCTATCATCCTCAAGCCCATGGATTCCTTTCTTTTGTGTTTTGTATTGAAAAAATAAATAAATTAAAAAATAAAGGATGTGGAAGAGAGATGAGATGAGAGAGACATGTTCATACCTTGGTGTATCTATCGGAACTGTCGTCGACGCCAGAGATGAAAGAGTATGAGGAACGGTGGAGAGATTTTGGTCTTGGGCGATTTAGCTCCACATGCGTTGAGGGGGAATGCATGTGGGAGGACACTTGGCGGGCTTCCATTGTGTAGGGCGCTTTTGAGAGGCCAATCCGTTGGGCGCAAATTTAAACTTAAAAAAAGTTTTAACTCGATCAATGTTCCAATACAATTGACCATTGAGCCATTGATCCAAACAGATAAGCATTTCTAACTTTCGGGGTCGAGTTTTAAAACACTATAATTTGTCAAAAAAACCACTATATTTAAGTACAATGATAAATCAATGCCATTACAATATGGGAGTAGAGATGCAACTTGAGCAGGTTCGGGTTGAGCATCCATTAAGCTTTGAAAGGATCATCCACTGCAATGAAAATCTTCAAATTGAAATTGAATACCTCAGTTGCAATCCTAGGTATGGTTCATCTTTATTACTATATAATGCTGATATCCTTTGGCTTCGCATAAAGACAACCATTCTAAAAAAAAATAATTTCCTCCCCAACTCTTTCCATCTCCCTGTGCCACTGATCTAGGGAAACAACTAAAATGGTAAAATTTATACATGGGAATTTACTATAGGAAATGGGTTGTTCTTACATGGGAATCTACTCGTATGAGTAAATTCTATTTTTGCACGAAGAGAGCACCCGAATCCTGTTAGTATATATAAGATGGTCTGAAAGAAATATAAAAATGCTATTTATAGACAGTTAGATACACATATACATATTCTATCTATACATATAATTAGAAAAACATGTTTTATATAAATAAAATGCATAATACGTATGAAATTAAAAATGCACAATATGTATGTATTTGTTTAGATGGGTCCGAGTGATCTGGGCTAGTCGAGACTTTGACCCAAGTGGCCAAACTTAATCTAAATTTAAGTCAGACCCGAATTTTTTAGTTCAATCCAACTCGAAGCCCAAAATCTGATGCCCAGCCTGTGCACAAGTTTGGATAGGTTTCATGTGCCCATCCAAGTTGTAGCCCTACAAAATAAAGAAAACATTGATGCCATAAAAAGAAAAAAAAAATGAATACACTATATTAAGACCGGGCACGTCTCTCCATGGAAATCCAAGAGATGTATGATCGTTATTTATTGGCATTTCTCATATTTTTACGCTTTGAGCTGGAATCCCATCACACTTTTTTTACACTTGCAAACAACGAGCTGTGAGCTGTGGAATACATCACATCTTGGCAAACAAGGAGTTGATGCAGATGGTAATGGGGCATATTTGGGGAGGATTTTGTAAAATTTAGAATCTAGACCGTGTTGATTTTAATTTATACCTATTCTTGGGTTGGATTTTGAAAATCCAAAATCCTCCCCATACATAAAAATACAAAATTCTCTCCGATCATATTCTCCCCCATTTAAGGATAGGGTGGATTGGATTTATAACTTACATCTAATTTCATATTATTTCTTACTATATACAAGCAATATAAAAAAGTAAAATAACATGAATAAATATAAAAAAGGTTTAATTATTTAATTAAAACATGTAAAAAATATATAAACCATCAATTATCATTCACATAAAATTCAAAATATTATTAAATATAATGCTTAATATATAAAAGTTTGTATGCTTTTTAACAATATGTAGGTGGAGTCTAGATTTACTCCTCACACCAACCTCGTAGTATATTTCAATTGTACATCAAAACATTTCTTGTTATGTTATTATTGAGATCACATCTCCGCCCCACAAGGGGCAATCCCACAATGCCCCACAGCACATCCCCGTCGTGTATCAGGAACATCTCCCGTTGATGATATCATCGGGATTGGTACTATCATAAGGAGATATTCTCAAAACACGATAGGGATGTGCTGTGGGGCATTGTAGGGTGGCCCCTTGTGAGGCGGAGATGTAAACTCGTTATTATTGATGGGAGATATTCCCAATACAGATGTGGCTGTGAGGAGCATATCTCAATTCCTCAAAATCAGCCCTTCAAACAAAAAACTGCCACATAAGGACAAATACCCATTGCGGAAAAATAAAAATTATATAAAGTTTGGATCACCTACCAACAAAATACATTTTCAACAAACTATCAACACAATTTGACACCATACATCTATTACATGATGGGCCTCAGTCTCATAGTGAGATCAAGTTAAATAAGGGGTTGGAAGGTGTTTTGTTGGCAGGAGATCACGACTCCTCTAATGCTCTGCATGCATTCATAGTCCTAATGCATTGTGGGACCAGAAAATCATAAGAGATTGTTCCTATAGACTTTGAAGCTCATCAATTGAACGGTTGAGATCATCATCTCGCTTGTTAGTATCATACATACTATTTGAGTTTAAATCAACCCCCACAAGATTACCCCCCACAACATCCCACAGTATATTCCCGCCGTATATTAGGAATATCTCTCGATGATATACTAGAAACGATGAAGTCATCATCGGGAGATGTTCTCAATATACAGTGGGAGTGTGCTATGGGACGTTGTGGGGGGCAATATCGTGGGGCTGATTTCATCTCATACTATTTACGTCAGTGTTCTAACCGAAAACACACCATAGATTTGAAGAATATACGTGGCAGTTAACGATTCGGGAACAAACGAAAGATTTTCCATTTTTGTTTATAATTTTACCCTCTCAATATTTTCTTAATTTCTTCAACTACCCCTAATGGTAATAGTGTAGATATTTATCCAAAATTTGCGTCATCCAGGAGAGATTCGACTGACTTCAACTCTCCAAGTCGAATGGCAACTACTTCTCCGTTAGACGACCAAAGAGAGAAATAAAGCGGAAAGGGGAGATCTTGTTCTTGCCAACTTTCTCTGGCTGAAAGGGTTTTATGAGCAGAAACCCTAGATCGCAATTGAAAGCCCTAAATCGTTTGTAAATTGTAATCTGATTGGTTCTCTTTCTGGAAAAGCTAAGGCTCTAGGGCTTCGATTTGGTGTTTTCCATGTGAAATTGTTGATAAGGTTGCGAGGTTTTACAGGAAGTTTTGATTTTTTTCGCTGTTTGGATTTCTTTGTCGGATTTGGGAAGGGTTTTGAAGAAAAGATGGCGGTATCAGGTGGAGAAGAGGAAGAAGCTGAGTATGAGAGTGATCCAGAGGAGTCGATGCCTTTGGCGATGCGGAGGAGGGAAGCAAGTGATGATGAGGAAGGAGAGGGGGAAGATAGGGAGAAGCCTCGGAGGGTCGATCGCAGAGTCGTAGTTGATTCGGATGGTGAATCGGATGGTCAAGGTGGAGCACCGGCGTATGATGATGAAGAATCAGAGATAGAGGAAGAGATGGAAGAGGAGGAGGATGAAGAAGAAGTTGAAGAAGTAGAAGAAGAAGAAGAAGAGTATGAAGAGAGACATAGTGAAGAGGGGCATGGTGCCGGTGAAGTTGAGGGTCCGGAAGCGGTGCCGGACTCTGGTGTCGAGGGGCGGAGATCAGGCGGAGAACCTTCGGGTTTTCGTGGTAAGAATCAGCCGGAAGAGGAGAAGAAGGAGAATGAGCCATTTGCCGTGCCGACAGCTGGTGCTTTTTACATGCACGATGACCGGTTTAGAGACAATGGGGGTGGTCGACACAGGTACGGTCTTTATGTTCTGGAACTGCATCGCAAACAATAAAGGTCGTTGCTTTTTTCAGTTCTAGGGAGTAGGGACTATCCTATAGTTTTAATTTAAGCAACAGCTTTAAGTTAACATGGGCAAAATTATATTGTGGGTAACAGAGGAAGAAAATAAAGGGTCCAAAACGTTCGAATGCGCAATTTTGCATGCTTGCTGCCAGAGTTTATATTGGCCTCCTGTAGTCCTGATTGATTGTGTTTGTTAGCTTCTGACATTTTCCTCCTTAAATAGTCCACCCTTCCCAAGACCCGAGAACAACATGGGATAATTGCCTGTTTTCCTCAAAGAACTTTTGTTTTGTTTTGTTTTTTGAAACTTAAAATTTACTACGTTCAAGAATATGGACGAAAGTCTTCTTTGTTGTTGAACATAAAAATGTTAATCTAAAATTTGAAGTGCTAACCACAATCTTTAGCCAAGGGGTTGTTCTCTGTTAGCTATGATTTTGCGTTGCATCCAAAGATCATGACCTTTTTTTTTGGAATTATAGAATAATATTCTCATATTTTCTTCTCTAAGTTTTGATGTTCTACTTTCTTCTACGCTTGTTACTGGTTAACCATTTGTTAATCGATGGTTGACTTTCCATTCCGAAAAACTAGAAGCATGTTGTCAAGTACTAGCTTGAGTATCTTACTTCTTGCCACTGCCAAATGGTGCTTCTGTTTCCTACTTAAATACATAGGTCTTTTAGACTAAAACAATTCTAATGTCATTAGAAGTGCCTAAAATTAAAAGGCTAAGTAGGAAAATAACACTATGAAAATCATGAATATAAAAATCTACAGCAAAGAGCAAACTTCAGAAATATTAGCTTCAACTTATTCAGCTACTAAATAGTGCGAACTGGTTAACCATGCATTTTCCATTTTACCTTTAATAGGAAAGATTTTGTTAGCTGGTAATTTATGTTTTCATGTTACACAGTCTACTATGAGTCTACGAATGTGAACAACAGTGACAGTTACCCAATAGAGCTTCTACGCACTATTAATTAATTGATTCTTGAGCTATAAAATAATTTCAAACTTAGCTTAAAAATGATTGATCCTACATCAGTAATCAGTTAAAGAAATATTCTGTCAGAAAGTTGGTGTACCAAATGCCATTCCAAGATCTGTGCCTTGCTGCCTGGAGAAGTGCATAAGATGGAGTTTGTGTGTTTCATAATTTAATGGAAAATGAAGGGGGAATTTTTCATGGGAAAACTGTTATCTGTTAGATGAAGTTGGGCTTTTCTCCAAAAAACTTCACATAATTGCTTCTGGTGTATTGGAGTCACCATGATACATGCTATGCCATTTGCTAGACATAAGGTTGAACACCGTTGGATGCATCTTATCTTTATTTACTTCTGAAATATACATAAAGAAAAATCTTATGCAGGACCCACATATTTATTCTTTTAAATTTGATAACATGCAAAATTCTTGGATGTGTGCACATAATCATTATTATCATCTAAGCCTTGTCCCAAACATATTGGATTGGCTACAAGAATCCTGTTGTACCATTCATTTCTGTTCAGTACCGTATCCATTGTTAAATTATGGACCTTTAAACAATTTCTTACTATTTTAATCCATTTCCTTTTTGGCCTGCCCCTGGCTCTTCTAGCCCCTTCAACTTGTAATAGATCACTTCTTACTGGTGCTGTAGATGGCCTCTTCTGCATTTGCTAAAACCATCTTAGTTCAGTTTTCCTCATTTTTAATTTGATCAACAACAGAATCTATTTATTAAAAATTTAGATAAAAGATACAATTGCAAGAGAGCAAGGGGAGAGGTAAGCTTCTAGGTACAAAAAGCATGTATATGTACCTAAATATTTTCATTTTATTACCTATTGCATCTGCTTCTAGGTACAAACACATGCATATGTACCTAAATATTTTCATAAAAAAGTTCATTTTTTTTTGTGTGTATCCATGCCATTTCTGCATGTAGCTCTCTATGATGCCAGATACGGATACCGACATAGACACAAATATGGGAAATGGGGATACGATTCTCATTTATTAAAGACATGCTATAGGGATGTGTCTTTATATAATATGCTTATAATAAGTGTCACTTATGTTTTGCCAAATTTGATTAAATTTCTAGTATATACAGATTTTTATAGTATGATTTGTTAAAACATACAACTTTACATAACCAATAAAAATACAACATTACATACTTCAGAAGTGTTAATGCTATTAGAGTATATCTGGAAGTGTCCCTGCAGTATCCAGCATCATATTGGTTATGCTCCATGTCTAGTACTGGTACCTAGGCATGCATTGCTAGCCAGATATCATTGATGTCTTCATTTACTTTCTAAATTTTGGGTGCTTGGTGTTTCTGTCACCCTGCATCTGTATTGAGATGGTAATACTCGTGTCTACACAGTTATGATTTAAGATCTTATTATTAGATTTCTTTCCTTTATACTGCTTTGGTTTAGAAATATACCACGCTTGATATTTTCTGATATTCTCATCAGCTTTGTCCAATTTTGGACTTAATGTTTGTGTAGAATGAATTGCTTTAACAGCCTTTTGTTGTATGCAATGCAGACGAACTCCTGGTGGGCGGAAGTTATGGGAATCGAAGGATGATAGGAAGTGGGGACATGATAAGTTTGAAGAGATGACTTTGCAGGAAACTCACTATGAAGAGGTGACTGTTTAATTGGTCCTTGGGTGCATGATGACTGATTCCCCCACCCCCCACCCCCACCTGAAAAAATTAAATAAAATAAAAGATTACTTGTCTTTTACTGGTGGTGGGAAAACACATCAATTTTCAATGACATTGGCCCATCTTTCACATTTTAATGAACAAAAATTTTAAGCAACTTCTGAATTATTTGCACCAAATTATTGATATTCTGGCTTAAGTATTTTACAGCAAGTTCTTATAAAATGGTGCTATAAATAAGATCTATAGAACCACTGGCCATTGTAATGGATCTAAAAAGACTTGCTGAAACAAATACCTGGTCTTTTTTTGTATGTATTCTCAGGAAAGGAGGAGGACTTCTAAAGGTTATTATCGAGGTCGTGGCAAGAACCGAGGTATGGACCGTGGGTATACAAGAGGAAACAGATCAAGAGCTTATGAGAACAATAACAATCACAACCGTACTGCTAAGAGTGTAAGAGGTAGAGGGCCTAGAAGGTATGAGCCTACTGCAAAGAACGGTACTGAGACCCCACCAACTCAAAACAAGCAGTGAGTGAACTTTGAGTCTTACAGCAATTATTAATTGCTTTGTTTTTCTTTTGTCATCTGTGGTTTATTTATTTAGATCGCATTCAACATTTTCTTTCAGATCCGTAAAATCCTCTGAACCCCCCTCGACTACTAGTTCAGGGAAGGTATCTACACAGGCATTGAATGTACAAACTGACCCAGCTCCTCCCAGGAAGAATGCGTTTGCATCAAGTTTGAATTCTGCTTCTCCTCCATTTTATCCTTCTGGCTCTTCCAATCAAGACATCTCTGTGACACAAAAAAGGGATCCACAATCAGGAAAAGTCAATAGGAACCTTACACCTTCTGTACTGATGGAGGAGAATTTTTCAATGCCACATTCCAGTGCCATGCTTCGAGGAAAGACTATTTCCGATCCCATTGGTCAGGATCAACCTTATATTGATGAGCCCATGCGGTCTGTTTCTGGGAAATTAACCAATCTGCAGATAAATTCATCCGGGCCTTCACCAGTTAATTCAACACAACCTCCTCAGTCCAGGGGTCAGGGAAGAGGTTTAACTGTATCTGGACAACTTAATTATCAGCCTGCCCCATCTTTTAACCAAGTAAACAGAGTTTCTCCACAGCCACAGATATCTTCTATTCAGCCAAGGCCTGTCCAAATCCCAGTTCAACCTTCTTTACGAGCTTCTACTCAGCATCTTGGTCAGCATCCAGGTAGTGGATCTCAAGCTTCTTCCCCACCAAAGGCTCCATCAAGGAATTCACCGGAACCTGGAGAAACAGAATCTCCGCCAGGATCAAGTAAAGCCAAGACTGCATTGGTCGGAAAAGGGAAAGGCAGTGTTCAAGGTAGTGGAAGGGGCTCTTTTCTGTACAGTGGGGCTCAGGTTATTGGAGCTACAGGGACCGTAGGTGTTGCTCATGGTGATCAAAGCTTTCCTGCCACTCCAGCACTTTTACCAGGTAATGCATCACACTTGTTTGTATACCTAACACCTGCCCCTATTTAGCTTTTAGTATTAGGTTGATCTTTCTTTGAGGATCGACCTAAATAAAAGTTAACCATAAAATACACTAAGAAGTAAGGATCCGTTTGGTTAGCAGTTCGAATTGAAATTGGAATGGTCTATTCCCATGGCCTGTTTGGTTCAGACAGGAATTAGAATCAGAATTGAAATCAGCTGGAATGGGATCTTGTTACCAAGGGAGGGGGAGAGAATGGCCATTCCCTCAAATGGATTCCATTCCACCAGGAATTGGAATGAGATTCTGATTCTGCCCAACCAAATGGTTGGTCCATTCCGATTTTGATTCTGGACCCCTATTCCTGTGAGCCAAATGGGTTGTAAATAATATTTATGGCATTTCTTATATTTTTTAATATTCAAGATTCGCTACTGATCAACTTTGGAACCTTCTGCTTCTTAAAATGAGCTAGTGACTGACTCCATATCTCTGTCAAAATACCTGGTTGAGGCTGGGTGTTGGGGAGAGTCTGGACCAGGGTGATTCGGTGATGGTTTGTAAAGCAATTATTTTAAAATAGGAGAGAGAAGTTGTCAGCTTTATGCTGTTTCTGTTTCTTTTTTTTTTGTTGTTGTTGTTTCTTGTATGATAACACTGTATAATTTGGAGCTTGGCCTTATCTTTAATAAAAATGATTATTATTGCTTATAAAAAATAATTTGGGTGGTTGTCTTGTATCAAGTTGAATAGATTCATTGCCTGCTTTGGAGTGTCTATGTGATACTGGGTGGCTAATGACAACATTTTCCTACCTTTTCTATCATGTTGTTGATTCTGTAAGGCAGCTTTGATTTAGTGTTGTCATAAAAATTAGAGCTTTTCCGGTTTCTATGATCATTTCCATCATTGTCATAATCACTTTATTCTGTAAGTTTGGTAAAGACATTAACTCTTGGTTCACAACATTAATATATGGATATGCAGTCATGCAATTTGGGGGACAGCATCCTGGTGGTCTTGGAGTTCCTGCTGTTGGTATGGCACTTCCAGGATATGTTGCACAGCCACAGCTTGGTTTTGGAAATTCAGAGATGACATGGTATGCTATGTTCTCATATAATTTCTTATTTACATTTTGTTTTTGGTCCCTTGAGATTCATTTGTGCTCTAGGACAATGATTCCATGGTTTTATTACATGATGATCTTGCTCTGTTCAATATGTTAATTGATAAATCTCCTTTGGTGAAACATCATTCTTTTAATGTAAGTAGCCATGTTAAGGACCTTTCCCCTAAATGGTAATGGAGCTTTACTTATTGGCTATGGGGTGCTTATATTCTACCTATGGAGGCAGTTGTAGCTTTTCTTTGTCACAGATATAAAAGAATAACAATAATTGCAGGGACTCAAGTTGTAAAATGGAAGGTGTAAACCAGAATTGCTTAAAACTTGATGATAGTGGATAAGTGGGGACAAGTGATTTGTGGAACAGATTTTATAGTTAGGAATGGGGAATGGGAATACAACCACAAAGGGGACTTGAGGGGCAGTTTGACCTATTGAGGTGATAGGTATGGGTGATTAAGCCTAGGAATGGTCAATGGTGTATGGAGGCTGGGACCAGATCAAGTAACACTGAAATAACAATAATAGGATACTTTCTTTTATAAAAATTGGAGTATTGTATTAGTGGCATAATGACAAGAGAGAACATAAATGAAGCTCTGTTACAGATTTCACTAAATCATAACTTATTTTATTTTTGAAGGACACAAATCATTACTTATCAGTTTTCTATTATAATAACCCTATTTATAAGCTAATAAGATGTTGTAGTACAATTCTACAAAGACTAAGGTTCAAGACAAATCTTAATTCGAATCTGGAGGTTATTGACAGTCACAAGTCCTTCTTCAGAAAAAAAAGGACAGTCACAAGTTATGGTTTGTGATTTACTATATAATAAAGGGGTAATAGCATATAAGGGCAACTTTTGGGGTTTAATATCAATAAAAATAATATATTTAAAAAATTTCAAAAATAGGTTAACTTTTTAAAAATGATATCAATAAAGGGCAAAAACACTGTTCATCTTCTTCTTCTTGCCATTTGTTCACCAGAGCCGCCATCCGCTGCCGCCTCCACCCACCTCTGCCTCCGCCTCTGGCAACGTTGCCGGAGGCAGAGGTGGTGGCGGCGGCTCTGGTGGTTTCTCTGTCCAACGCCGCCACCTGTCTCCGCCTCTGGCAACGTTGCCGGAGATGGATGGAGACAGGTGGCGGCGGTGGCGGGCAGAGGAATGACCACCAGCGCCGCCGCCACCACCTCTTCCTCCACCCACCTCCGGCGACGTTGCCAGAGGCGGAGGTGTGCGGAGGCGGGCGGCAGCGGATGGCGGTTCTGGTGAACAAATGGCAAGAAGAAGAAGATGAACAGTAATTTTGCCCTTTATTGATATTATTTTTAAAAAGTTAAACCTATTTTTGAAAATTTTTTAAATATATTACTTTTATTGATATTAAACCCCAAAAGTTGCCCTTATATGCTAAAAACCCTATAATAAATAAGTGCAGGAACTGGTATAAATGGCAAACATTGTTCTTAGCAACAAGCCAACAACAACAGTTAAGCTGCTTGGAGCTAATGATGGGGTCTGTGTACATCACATCTAGTCATCTACTTGATTCTTTTGGGTGTAGTTCTGGTGGGTATGATGTTCTAGTACCTTGCCTTTTTTTTGATCAATAACAAATTCACATTAAGTAATTAGAGAAATAATTACAGCACTGCAGAAAGAGGTAAAAAAAACTTAACTCTCCCCCAGAGAACAAAATAAAAATTACAATACAGCCCAAAATATTTGATCCCTTCCCACTGTTCTAGTGCCATGCCTTGCCTTTATATCTGTACATCTTATTTTATTTTAATTATGTGTTGTTTTGGTTTTTCTTTCCTTGTTCCTCCAATGGCTTGTCTTTGATAAGAGGGTACTTTTTGTGGTCCTTGGAGTTTAGGGATCTAGTTATTGCTGGCTGGGGTCTGAACTGCCGGGTTCATTTTCATCCCTTCCACCCTTCTTGTTAACCTTATTATTGGTTTCTCTCGAAAATATCTTGGCCTTTGTTCTTGCTATTTCCTTCTTATTGGTAATGTCATTAGTGAGCTATATGGTCAACTTTAACTGGTACGTATCTCTCTAACCACAGAAAATTTCAAGGGAAGTTTGAGCTCTTCATGATTGTTGACTATTGTTGTTCCAAGAGTTTTTTTAGGATAAATTTCTCTCTCTCTCTCTCTCTCTTCTTATTGGTAAACTCATCTGTCAGTTAACTGGTCATCATCAACAGGCTATTAGCTTTGTTTGTGATAAGTAAAAGAAAATTTTCATTAAAATAAAGAAAAGATAGAGTACAATCTGTATAGGCGATAAGGTAGTACCTATCAACAGGCTGATAGCTTTGTAACCATAGACAAATTTGTAGGAAAAATTTGAGCAATTGAGCTCATTGTGATTGTTGGTTGCTCCATGCAATGTTGGTTGCATTGCTCTGTTTTTAATTTGCTTTCTTTTGATTAGTTTTATTTATCATTGATACTATTCCATCATGTACTTGTATGCAAAGATGATTCTTGATTCCAACTTCTCTGATGTCCAGGGTACCAGTCTTGGCGGGTGCTGCAGGGGCTCTAGGGGCTACATATTGCTCTCCCTACATTGCTGTTGATGGTGGTTATTATGCTCGTCCATCAGGACAGACATCTTCCTTGAGTGGGTCCGGGTTAGTGACTTGTCACTACTTTTAATTTAGAGAGTTTTTTTTTTAAATGGTTTCTTGCCCTGTTTCATTATTCTTGGAAACATGATTTATGCTGTGTACTATTGGTTCTAATTGTTGCGTCTCATTTTGCTAAAAGATGGATGGAAACTGAAAAGGCAAAAAACATTTAAGGAGGTAGTCATTAATTAGTGAGTGAAATATAAGAAAATTCTATGGTTAACCAGTAAGTCATCTGCAAAGAATCCCATGATCATCTGAAGAATACTGATAATAAACATGGGAAAATATCTCAATTAAGATTTAGATTTTCCTAATTTGCATATTGAAAAACAGCTGTTTTTATACACTAAATTGTATAAAATGTTTATGGAATTATGGGTTCTGAATCTTGTAGACAGCAAAAATGCATTGTTCACAGATCCTGCAAACCCTTCAAGCCTGTTAATAAAATCTTTAATGTGAAATAGAACCTCAAGTCACCATTTGTTTCAACATAAAACGGATTGAAATTTTTTGATGCTGAAGTATTTCAGCTATATTTTCATCTCTTTTATGATGAGAGTTTTTATGATTATCCAAGACAGTTTCAAGCCTGTTCTGGCTTTTTTTATTCAATAATTTTTTAGTGTGTTAGGCTTATTCAAGCCCAAATGTTGGGAACGAAATTATCTTAAATGAAAAGAAAATAGTGGTAACATGTCATTATATCATGTGATTTATATATACTATTAACCAGTATGTTTTTATACAAGTAAAAGAAAAAATTCATTAAAAGGAAAATTCCTTTTTTCCTTTTTTAGACTATCAACCAGTATGTTTACAACATACAATATATTCCAGTGTATATACTAGATAACACCAAAGCTCGGTTTAGGGTCATTTGGCTTAAATGATTCTAGATCGATGCTTGGGCTTCTTCTGTGAAGCTGAAGATTCAGTTTAGTATCCGATTGCATGAGCTTAAGCTCACTAAAAAGCCAAGCCAGCTAGACTTGTTAGCATCCATGTATAGACTTTCTTTTTTACTTGTTCAGTAATATCTTGAGTTTTTTTTTCAGTAATATTTTGCTGATGATTGGCTTTTAGTTGCAGTATATTGAGTTTAATTATTCTGGGTGTATAGATATATATATATATATATATATATCCAGAATTTATTTTGGACTTGGGTTTATATGTTCTGTGGGTTGAGGTTTGGGACTTGGAGTTATGGATATGGCTCTAAAATTTTTTGATAAAGGATCTCATTGACAATTTCTTTGCAGCAGAGAAACTAATACAAGCAAAGCTAATAATGCGTGGAAGCCTCCACAAAGACCTGGTAGGACATTTAATATTCTTATTATTGATTATGAAACATTGAACTACTACTTCACAGTGGTTCTAGTTGGTTGCTTGCTGTTTTTTACTTTGGACGTGATGTTTTTTATTATGGTCTGAGTTTTGTACATGTACCATTTAGTTAATAGCTGCGTTTTATTTTTCTGGGCATACCATTAAAGCCTAACTTGTATTTTAATTCATTTCAGAGCTTGTAAATGATGAGTTTGGGCAACGACAAAATAAGCCTCGCAGGCAAGTTAATTTTTTTTGTTCTAAGCAGATGTCTTTTAATGCCTATTCTTAGCTGCTGAAGTTATCCTTCTCCTCATCATCATTATTACTGTTATTATTATTATTACTAAATGTCTAACTAGCTTTTGTTGCATATTTCTAGATACTCAGAGATGAACTTTGGCCAGTGAAGTATATACATAAGATTGAGTTTATTTGAATAAGCTGCTAAAGGTCAGTGATCCTGTTGGTTTAAACTAGTTGCATAGTTTGGCTGCTGTCATGTACTAATGTTCTTATTTACATCCTTGATGATGTTGCAGTTCTTCCTGGCCCTTTGTGATTCCAGCTTTTGTTTTGGAGCACTTTGGGGAGAGACGTGTCCAAGATATGCTAGGTAATTTCCTGGTTTTAACTTAAGTGGATTCTTTTTGTACTTTGGAATGTTTAATCTAAGTTTTAAGTTTCATTTTGGCAGTAACTATATGAGTAAAAAAATAATGGGGACAAATAGTGAGCAATCTTTAATCCTATATGATGTATCTTATGAATGATCTGATGTGAAGGTGCTGGCTAATTTAATGGGTGCTTCTGTGGTGAAGGTGGATATCTTTTTCACTGATAAAAAAAAGGTCGATCTTTTTGGATAAGATACAAATTTATAATTTACCCATAAAAGGATGACAGCATGGATTATGATTCACATAGTGATGGTCAAAGATCAGAGTAAAGTTTCTCTCTATTACACTTGGGGGGTTTGGATAATGGTTAGTATTCCTTATCTATGATGGGGGCAAAGTTCAAAGTATCAATACTCTTGATATACAAATTTTGTGTGGTTTCAAACAGTCAAAATTCTTCTTTCTTTTGAAAAATTGCCTGATATTTTTGTCAATGCAGATGTCATATCATAATAACATATAAAACATATAAAACACATAAAACCAATGAACTGTTGGTATTTAGAGTATCGGTGGGTTGAAAAGCTGATATGTTGGTTGATATGCACCGATACATTGTGGTATTTTGAACCTTGGATGGTTATTATTATTAGTAGCGATACTCCAAACAATGGTGAGGCACTGGAGGTGTGGTGGTTGGGTTCTACAGAATTTTTTTCTACTCAGTCTCTCACTCTCCTCATGCACATGCTGCTAACCTTCTGTTTATCCACAATAAAAGGGTTAGTTAATTTATGCTGCTGCTGTATATGATAAGTCAGACTTATAATTGATATTATCTATTGATAGTTTGATTGTGCTTCTTAGTAATAGTGATGTACTTAATTTATGTTTGCATTGGTTGGAACAGCATACGCTCTTCTTGAATCATGCAGTTATATAACAAACACCTGCTCATGCTGCGGTTGAATTGAGAGGAGGATTGCAGCTTGACAGGTGGCAGTTCTTTGTTCAAATTAGCGGTAGGATACGGTGGAGAGAGATTAGTTTTGCTTTTTTTTTTTTAATAATATTGTTTGGAAAACGCAAACCTATTGTTGTTGTATCGGTTCTAATTTGCTTACTTGATTTTCACTGGTTTTCCAGGTTTTTCTATTTTGGCTTGTTAGTTCTTTGTGAAGCTTGTGAAGAAACGGGAGCGGGCTTCTTCAAGAATTATAGTATAGAAAAACTATGGGGAGTAAAAGAATCATAAGTGGAGGTGTTGCTAGGTGAAGTTAGGTTGTTATTGGTCTTGCCTTGGCTCCTCTTCGGTGGTGGCCCTTCCCTTGTTTGTGGGTTGATTGATTGGTTAGTGCTGCTTTGATGTTGCCTGATTGGAGAATGTATTTTCCTTCTGCGGGGTTGGTTCATTGCACACTTTGCTATAGTTTTATGCAAGGAATGCTTCTCATGTTAGTGCTGGTTCTGTTTTAGTTGGACACCTCTTTTTCTGGACTAATAGAATTCCCCATCTCATGTTTGCACCTTGCATTAGTATTTAGATATTATGCTTTTTTGGTTTTTCTGTTCTGCGTGGTCAGTGGCAATCTCACAGGAATGTTTTACGTTTTTAAGTTTTAACTGCCTGATATGTTACCGTTATATATTTCGTTGGGATTGGGTGTACCGTATGGGTGCTCACGATAACCGGTTCCACTGGTTTTTGAAATTCCCCAAACCGAATGGTTGTCTGCTTGGATTCTTTGATTTTTTTTGGCTTTTTATATTTATAATGTATAATTATTAGAACAGTTAGGAGATTTTATTCTCACTTTGTTTTCTTCTCAATTGACAATAGAACCATCGCAAGTTGAGAGTTTGTTCACCTTTTTTACTTAATTTTTTGTGTTTTTTTTTTACAATAAATCTCTCTCTCTCTAGTTTGGAGAGAATGAAGAAAGAAAAAGTAAGACAACGCAATGAATTTCTAGAAAAAAAGAAGGGAAAGCAAGGGAATAAACTTACATGTTATAGAGAGAGGAACCGGTGATGGCACCAGTGATTATGGTAGAGACTGGCTTCATACCTTCACCAATATACCAGTGAACAAAAGCATGTTTAGCAAACACCGATTAAACTTGTGGTCAATTCGGGAGGAGACCTTTGCAACACCAAACTTGTAGTCAATGTCAATCCGATCTAAGACTTGCAACATTGGTGGAGGTGGAGAGGCTAGTGAAATTGAGCAAAACCACTACGACATTGGTGGAGTTGGAGAAGCAAGTCAATGGCGAAGATGTAAAATGGTTTACCGTTTACCCTAGAAAGTAGAAGATGTAAAATGTTTTGGTTGTTTTATGTATGATGGTCTGTCTCTTAAGTAGATAATAGGTATGACCGTTTAGGTATGATAGTCTCTATATGGTAGATAGTAATTAATGCTATAATAGGTATGATAGTTTCCTAGTGTATCATCAACTGGGAGTGCAACTTGGGGCTTGGGCCAAGTTGCTTTGGATTGAGGTCCATCCCAACCCAACCCGGTATGTCAAAACCTTAACCCTAATTGGCTAATCCTAACCAAACCCAGTCTTCTACCCGATGTTCTCAACCCTAATCCATCCTGATCATGACCGAGTTGGGTTCAGGGTTGTAACTTCCTACCATCTATCAAATCTATAGAATGTGATTATATTCCTTCAAGTACACAATTTTTGTATGAAAATAGAAAATAGTACAAATTTTTTATTCCCCCACCTCATTAAGTGACAGGTGATGGTTTTGCAAAATAAAATAAAAAAAAGAAACAAATAAAAGTTTGTGAGATGGGATAAACCATAATTTTTACCGAAATATATCATATAAAAATAACATTTGGATTTAATTATGATACCAAAAAGTTAAAAACCCATAAATTGTTATCATAAAAAGTGATAACCAGTAGGTGACATTGGCAGTTCTGCACTCAAATGTGGGTTCAAGTTAGCTCAATTCAAGTTGAGAACCCCATTGACAATGTATATGCTTTCCCATTGCCAAGTTCAAATTCTAATCTCCCTAAATTTGCCTTCTTTCAAGTTCAATTCTATTCGGAGCAAAGTTCAAAATACAGATAGCAACGTGATGGAATCCATCGATATGTTTTGGTTTTTTAGGGAACTCGGATCCGGTCCTCACAATACCATACTCACATCATCCTCACAACTACCTGTAGATGTGCAAATTGCAATATCTCCCCATGAATAAAAACATACCAATATAGAGATATTCCTAATAACATATTTGCAAGAGGCTGAGTTACTCAGTGGTGGCACGATTGGCATGTTAGATGGGAAGTCCCAACAGAGACGCGAATTCAAATCCTGCTATTACCACATATGTTGAAAAGTTAGTGTATTGTGTTAAGTACAAAAAAAATATGGTCTTGTGAGTGGGCCAGTTTTTTTCCTCTAAACTCTTACCTGTTAAGAGGAATCTTGCAACTTTAAGAGGAAAGTGGTTGTTCGTTTCCTCTTATCTCTTATCAATTAAAGTAGAATCTTGTATTCTTTTTTTGTTTTCTAATGATACTCCAAAACACAAAACACTTCTCCCTCCTTATAACTCAACGACCTCATATGCAATATGAATAGGCCTGTAAACGGATCAAATTTAAACCGAATTAGGCTAGATTCGAATTTGAAACCGATTATAGCTATTGGTATTTGAATTCAATTCGATATCCGATGGATATCAAATACATCAATTCGAATTTGATTTTGATTATTGAATCGAATATTCTGTTCAATTCGATTTCAACCGAATGCGATGGGTTCCCACCTGTAAGACTGTAATCACCTTGAGAAAAGAGGGAGGGGACGGCGACAAGCATGGGTTCCCATCAGCAGTCGTGGGTTGCAGTACAAAGCCGGTGATACTGGACGGTTGAGGCCTAAGGGTTGCTTGAGCTTGAGTAGCGACAAACAAGTGATTGGGCGAAAGAGACGATGTTGATCTTGAGCTATGGCCGGTGACCGGTGCTCGACCACTATCATTGGCGATGTCGTCGGTGATGGTGGTTACTTGGGCGGTGAGTCAAAGACTGAGAGAAGAGAGATAGAGGTAAGAGCCTAAGAGGAAAGACGAGACACGAGATGAGCAACGATGGCGTCCAAACTCCGATGAATGGCTAGTGGTTGGTTGGATGATGAGGGGGTGATTGGTGATGGACCGATGGTGGTTTCTCGAGCGACAACCAGCGACGGCAAAGGGAGTGACGGACGAAGGGTTAGGGTTTTCTAGGGTTTCGAGAGGTAAAATGAAAGAGTTCGAAACTTCGAATGTAATGTTCGATTTTGGTTTTCGACTTTTATTTTCTTTTGAGAGGTAAAATGAAAGAGTTCGAACTAATGTTATTTTTCATTTTTTTTAACTTTTATATAATATAATATATATAATAATATAAGATAATATATATATTATATAATATATATAATCGGTTTGGATATTTATCAGATTGGATCAGTGTATATCCGAATTCGACAGAATATTCGATTCGAATTCGATTTGATTAAACTGAATCTCAGATTCGAATTCAAATTTTCGAATACCGTTTATAGGCCTAATAATACTAATTATTATTAATTAGTAATAGTAATAATAATAATAACTAAAAGTACTAATAATTAATAATTATTATTATAATCATTAATCATTTATTACTATTATTGTTATTACTTATTAAATAATAATTATTAATTTTTAACTAATTATTAAAATAATTAGTATTAATAATAAAATATTAAGTATTGTTATAGTAACCGTTATTAATTATTAATTAATAAGAATTGTTATAATTAATTACTAACAATTTATAATTAATATTTAAATAATAATTATTAGTTATTCATTATTAATTTATTATTATAATAATTATTATTAGTTATAACTTAAATTTTATTTATATATAAAATATTAATTATTAGTTGTTAAGAGTTATTAACTATTACATTAATTAGTATTATTTAATAATTAACAATTATGAATTAACTATTAAATACTAATTATGATAATTAATTAATTATTAATCATTATAACATTTTTAATATTATTTATTTATTGAATTACAAAAAAAATAATTAATTATTAAATATTATTATTGTTATAGTAATTATTATTAATTATAGATTAAATTTTAATTAAATGTTAAATATTTATTAATTATTAGTTGTTAATTAATTATTAACTATTATATTAACTAATAATTATGATTAATTCTTAAATAATAGTAATGATTACAATTAATTATTAATTAACAAAAGTTATTTATTTATAATTATTAATTTTTATTAATTAATTGTTAATCATTTTGATAATTTCAATATTATTTTTTATTAAATTACACAGACAAGCAAACAATCTCATGTATGGGGTTAAAATGGACATTCAAGAAATTTTAGAATTTAGAATTCAGAACAGCATTCTTTGCATTCAAAGTTTAGGGAAAAGAAAAGCTCACCAACACCAATATACCTCTTAATGTAATTATTGCACTTTTAGATATCATATGTTAGAATAAACGAACATCACATATTGTTTTTAGGGTCACTTATAGGGCAAATAGTGGTAGTTGAGAAAGGGGAATCCCATTGTTTTGAGTGTTAGAATTTAGGGAGAATGACGGTTTAGCACAGGGTCAGACTTTTTAGGCCCAAAGTACAATTGGGGTAGGTGTCAGCTCGGAATTGATGCCAATTCATGGGCGGAAATTGGTGTATAGAGTGGAGATATTTGACATTTTGAATTTTTATAGGTCTGTAGTGAAATTCAGAAATCTGCAATGGGCCTATTCGTACTTTTCCAACAAATAACCTGTGAGAGGTCAAATCTGAAAAGCAAATAAAAAATAAATGTTCCTGTCAACTTAAACTTTAAATACACAAATTAGTAAATGATACATTGAACCTTGCATAGTTGCATAAGGGTTCAGATCCTCATAGGACACACATTAAATCCGACTATTTATGGTTTTATACCACAAAATTTAATGTATCATTTGTGAATTGTGATGTTGCAATGGATTTAACATTTGACTTAGTGTCATGTCATCTATGTTTCATCTTTTATTTTCTTATTCTTTTGGAAAATGATATGTGGAGGAATATTTGCCACCATATATGCACCACATCAGTGGAACAGTGAATAAATGCTTAATCATTAGGGGAAGTGTTAAAATGAAACTTCCTCCAATGTTACATATAAATCAAAACCCACTTTTATGAATATTAACATATTGGGACAAATACTGATTTGGTGATAACATGAGAGCATTGATAAACACCTATCATGAAATACCAACGGAACAAAACACACACTTTATCTTTATCAGCCACTTCTAATTCAAATAAATTAAAAAAATAGAAAATTAAAGGAAACAAATTTAATAATAAAATCTGGTATTTTCAAGTATTAATTTTAGAAAAAGAAACTATGATGCTAGAAAGACATGATACATTCCCATGTGAATTTTGATGAAAACCCAACTGATTGATTGTCACTTTGATGATGCCTGATTGATTGATTATAAAATTTTCTGATATCATTTCTG